GGTAGCAGCACTGTGTCAGGGACACAGGTTCTGAATTCTAGCCTAATACTCAACATTGGAAAATACCAAAACTATCAAGTTTCTGGTTGAACCTTCTCACCCAGCACCACACCCAGTACCATATGGTAGAGGAAATCTCTGGCCTGGATTTCTGATAACCTTGTCTTGTTCTGTCTTGTAGACATCTATGTAATGAATATCAGTCTGGAGGTTTCTGGGGGATGACTCAGTGGCTAAAGAGTCCACCTTAAAGGCTGAGGTTGTGAGTTCAATCCCTCATACATCTAGCCCAGTCCCAGCAGTTATGCTATTTGGGATCCTGGGCAGTACAACAGAGTATTTATTTGCAGTAGCCTGAGCACTGCAAACAAATAGTGTGTGAAAACCAACAGCTAGTATATGGAATCAACCCAGGTATCCAATGTCAGAAGAGTGGATAATTAAGGGGTGCTCTATATGCACAGTGGAATACTATGCAGCTATAAAGATGGAATCATGCAATTCACTGCAACTTGGATGGCAATTTGCAGGGTATATCACATTAAGTGAAATAAATAAGAAGAAGAATAATTATCTTGTGATACACAGAATAGCAGAATGAGGGACTGCAAGATATTTTAGGCGGGATATCTAGATTATCTTGGACCCTAGATTATAGAAATAAGGACAGGGAAGGAAAGAAATTGAGGGGAGAAGAATAAGTGAATGGAAGGTACAGGGGCAGGGGTCATGCTGACAGTGTGAAGGTGTGGCATATGTACATATCTAAACCACAGAGCCAACACTATGTGCCCAAGACCCAAACTACAATAACCAAACTTTAAAATGTGCATGTCAAGGAGACAGGCTGGGGGTGGGAGGGAACTTGGGGACTTTGGTGAAGGAAAGTTGATACTGGTGGTGGGACTGGTGATGAAATGTTATATGTCTGAAATTCAACTATGAAATTCAACTATGAATAACTCATGGAGACTCAATAAAAATTAATTTAAAAAAAGTGTGAGTCCCCAGCAGCCCTAGTTGGTTGTGTCCATAGTGACTGCTGGTCACCAGGACTCCAGCAAATGCTGTAACTAGCAGGCACAAGCACAAGGGCTGCTGTTAAGAGATGCTGGGATTCCCCCAATGAGTCTCCCCCCACCCCGCCACGACATTATGTGAGCACCACAGTTGCATGTGCAATTCATGCAAGCACAATCCCGCATGCATGCAACCCACGGGCATGACAACAACGAGGACAGAATGGGGAAGGGCAGAGAAGTAAATAAGTCGGAGTCTGTCCTTCCAAGCAGTGAATTCTGGGCCTAGACTCTCTGGAGAGCAGAGGGATTCGGTATTTTTTAGAGTAGAGGACACTGCAGGGACTCAGCGAGTTACATCTCTGCTGGCCCAAGCCAGGTGAGACTCACATCTCACCTTGGTCTTGAGCAGCCATAGGAAAGACCCGGGTTTTTTCAAGAGCTGGACAAATGCCATGACCAACTGGACAAGTGTACTCCTGCCTCCGAGTGTGCATGGCCGTGAGTACGCATCCTTGGGGAGACTTCTGGGAGATTGGGCATCGGCTTCTTTAAGAGATGGACAGGACAGTGACTCTGATAGGAGTCACTGCCACTTTCATGGGAAGTCAGTAGAAAACAGAGTAGCTCTGTACTTCTATGGTCAGCTCAGGGGTCTGAGCAGTGGTCTGAGCACCAGCATCCAAAGTTCCAGACAGCTCACTAACCGTTCCTTTGAAATTTCTGATTACTCTTATTTCATATTTCTACTCCCTGAGGAGGGCTGGAGTGATAGCACAGTGGGTAGGACGTTTGCCTTGTAAGTGGTCGATCTGGGTTCAATTCTTCCGTCCCTCTTGGAGAGCCCGGCAGGATACCAAGAGTATCCCACCCTGTCGCTTTCTGTATAAAGGACCAGATGTTTCAGAAAGTAAGTGTGTGTGTGTGGGTGTGTGTGTGTAAGGGGTGCTGGTGGTGGCGAGGGGTAGGGGTGTGGGGGAGGGGGGCTTCTCTTCAGGCCATCCTGAGAAGAGCTTCACGCATCCCTCAAGCTGTTCTCTTTCACGGATCACCTGGCAATGACCCCTCCTGGATGACTGTAACAAGGCAGAAAGAAAACCCGAGGCTGTCAGAGGCTGGGCGGAACTTCTAAGGCTCATGGGGATTAAACACCTCTGTGTCTCTGCGGGAGGGGGAACCATGCCTTCTGTCAGTTTTTATTCAAGTGTTTCTTTTTCAGCATCAGCCTCCCTGACTTTGATGCGAGAATAAATTAATTCCAAAGCCCCGACTTGAAATTTCCTGACTCTGCCTGTCTATTGTCTAGCCACCCACACAAAGGAGAAACGGTGGAACCTTGTCAGTTTCCAAGCAAGCAGCTGGCATTACACATTCTTCTAGGGAGTTCTTTATAAAGAACGGCTGAGGCTTTTCAATCCTCCTTTTCTTCCTGAGATATTTGCCCGTGTTAAGGCAGAGCAGATTTTGTTCAACAAGAAAACTAAAAAAAAAAAATTTTTTTTAAAGTAAAACAGAAGAACCAAATCAAGTTCCGTGAAATTAAAGCCACTTGAATTTCTGGACTAGTTGGACTACTAAGTTTTAGTGTACTTCTAGTAGAAACTTACAAAGGCTCATTCACGGTGATTCTTCATGTCACCCCTAACAGTTTTGTATCTTAATTCTAGATGGAAACTGTGTTTTGGGGGGATTTCAGCACGCTCCTCAGATTTCTCTGTTCACACTGTAAAGGCAGAGATATAGATCACTCTGATAGGAGTCACTGCCACTTTCATGGGAAGTCAGTAGAAAACAGAGTAGCTCTGTACTTCTATGGTCAGCTCAGGGGTCTGAGCAGTGGTCTGAGCACCAGCATCCAAAGTTCCAGACAGCTCACTAACCGTTCCTTTGAAATTTCTGATTACTCTTATTTCATATTTCTACTCCCTGAGGAGGGCTGGAGTGATAGCACAGTGGGTAGGACGTTTGCCTTGTAAGTGGTCGATCTGGGTTCAATTCTTCCGTCCTTCTTGGAGAGCCCGGCAGGATACCAAGAGTATCCCACCCACATGGCAGAGCCTGGCAGGCTCCTTGTGGCATATTAGATATGCCCAAAACAGTAACAACAAGTCTCACAATGGAGATGTTACTGGTGCCTGCTCGAGCAAATTGATAAACAACGGGAGGACAGTGCTACAGTGCTACTCCCTGAAATTTCAAATCTAGTTTATTGTTCAACATCCATTTTTCTTTTTTAAATCTCCTTTACGTACATTTTAGGATTTAAAAGTTAATACATCCCCTGAAACATCCCTTCCCTTCCTTTTATCTTAGATGTACACCTTATTATGCATATTATTTTATGTACATATTATTATGACAGGTACTTCACTTGATCTTAGCCAAAAGGCTGAGAAGCAAATTATTATGACATGATTCACGTGTGTAAATGTGAGAAAGACAGGAGAAGAGAGAGAGAGAGAGAGAGAGAGAGAGAGAGAGAGAGAGAGAGAGAGAGAGAGAGAAGAGGGAGGGATGGGGACAAGCAAAAGGAGAGAGAGAGAGTTTTGTATCTTGGGGGAATTTGGAAAAATTTCTCATGGAACTTGCAATTTTTGTCTTTTCTCTTTGGTAGAAATCTCTGTAATATGTAAACTTTGTTGGGGCTGGAGATAGCACAGCGAGTAGGGCGTTTGCCTTGCACGCGGCCAACCTGGGTTCGATTCCCAGCATCCCACATGGTCCCCTGAGCACAGCCAGGAGTAACTCCTGAGTGCAGAGCCAGGAGGAACCCCTGTGCATCGCCAGGTGTGACCCAAAATAAGCAAAAAAAAAAAAGATGTAAACTTTGTTGAGAATTCTCCCTGTATTTAGATTTCAAGAAATCAGAGCTGAAATTCCAGTGTTTTTCACAGTAGATATTTTAAGGTTAAGTGTAGAAAGGATCACTCAACAGTCATTTCAAATGCTCTTGCCCTCTGTTCTAATGTGTAGAAGGGGACGTGTCAGCAAGAGGCCTGAATGGTGAAAGCTCTGATTTTACCCAACCTATTCATTCATTCTCCATGTGCCCTCATACCCATCTGGTTACTGGTGATGCCCAACACACAGTTAAGACTCCACAACCAGAAGGGCACCACTGGAACCCTTTCTGTCACCTGCCTGGTTGTTTTCTTTGCAGATCCTGGTTGCCTGATGCATCAAATCCCCTCTGATACTGAGGTCACAGGTTTTTAACATGGTTATTGCAACGGTGAAATAAGAAAGAATGGAATCATACTCTCCCATATGCCTCTCAAACTGCAGGAAGGGGCCAGCCACTTTCTTTGCCAGGTTTAAGAGGTTGGTCCATTAGTTGCTGTTTATAGATAACTAGCCTTGTTTTACAAGGAGTCGGCTGAGATTTACCCACATTTATATTTACACTGATTCTACCTCTAAAAGCCTTCTTGAACAAACAAATGGACCATTCCACAGCCATCTGGAAGGGTGGAATAAATTGTCTAATGTAATTTATGTAAATCACTTCTTAAAGGGAATTCTTGCCGTGGAAAAGGTCAATATTTATCATCAAGTAAAAAATCAACATAATCCTGATCTGACTTCAAAATCATGTTTTTGAGCTATGTACACAAACTAACACACACATATGTCTGAGAATCTGAATTCCTAGGAGATGACACTGTGGAGTCTGTGGGCCCATGTCACATACTAAGGAACAGATTAAAAACCTTACAAAGTAGAAACTCAAATTGGGGTCCACTGATCTTGCAAGCCAAGAAAGAAGAAAGCTGAGAAAGGATTCTTTGGCTGACACTAAACTGAGTTCCTCTAGGTGTAGGTAAGGATTAAAAAAAACTTTGGGGGATAAGGTTTTATTCTGTTCTTTTTGAACCCTCTGTGAGACTAGTTGGTAGACTCTGTTTCTATTCTTGAACCCAGGATCAGGCAGGAACCATGAGAACATAGAGCACTAAAACCTTTGCTAACCAAGTCTTATACCTGTCATAGTCTTGGCAAATCTCCCCCACAGCCACCAGAGCCTTCAGGTACTCGTTTGGTTGGTAAGGATGGATGTAGTGCAGAGAACAGCTGTTCCTGGGGTCCCCATTGGAGGCAGTGAAATCTATAGCTACCTGGAAGAGAAAACAGTAGAACACATTGATTCAACGTGAATGAGTTGCATAGGAATTCTGGTGTGCCCCAAGACAGAAACGGCCTAAGATAGAAAGTAGCAGTGTGTTAGAATACTCTGCCTATAAGGAAAGCTAGAGAAGTAATTAATTCCCTTGAAAACCATTATTCACTTAGTGGAGGTCAAATCTGTTGTTGTCAACCCCCCTCTCTCCCTTTTCTTCTCTAGGTGGATCTTGAGACAGACAATAGGTTTGAAAAGGCCAGCTAAGGTTGATCCATGTCACCAGACAGCAATGAAGGTGGTAGAAGATCTGTAGCTCCTATGCCCACTCAGTTCATAATTCACTTAGAAAAGACTTTTGCGCACCCAAGCAAGAGTAATTTCATTTCAGAGGCATAGGAAAAATCCCTTAAAAACAAAATCTGTGCTAAAGATGCAATCTACATGAAAACTACGTCCACAGAGCTGAGCTTGGTGAAAGGGTGTTGAAAGGGAGGGAACTTTGGGATCTTGATGAAATGAACACTCTGGTGATGGGTGTGGAATGATGCATGCATCAATGATCATTTACAGTATTGAAAATCATGGTTTGTCAATAAAGTTAAAAAATTTAAAAAATGAACATATCTCTGGTACAGTCTCAGTAGTGGCAGTGGTGTAAAGTTGTGTGGAAGTGGGTTATAATAAAATTTTTTGCAAGAAGTCTCTCTGCGAGTGGACAAAATCTTCTAGTGACTGAGGGAAAACCACCCTTCCCGCTCAGCTACATTAGGGAAAGGAAAATGGAAACCCATCTTGCTACTAAATAGTCATGATACTCAAACGTTCTAACATGTTTCTGACCCCTAAAATCCTCCTCCTTAAAATAAGCATTGCATCGTCCCAACACTCAACAGCATGCTTAAGTCTGGAATGTGCTAAAATGAGAAGGGACTTTTCTTCTGGTTTTCAACAAGTAGCATTGTGATTTAAAGAAATGCCAACCCAGCAAACACCTCTCTCAAAAATTGTTATGTTTGGGAGAAGGAAAAAAAGTGGGGGTGGGGGAATAAAATAAAAAGTGTTGTAAGGGAAGAGAAAGCAAAATTCAGTGGTCTCCGTTCACTAGGACTCAGGACAGAAAGTCTGGATTCTCTTATGCTCTTGAGCAATCTTTCCCAAAGCGGGCGATGCGACTTGCCCCCTAGAAAGAGGCTCCATGTTTGGGACAATCACAGGACTAGTCTAGCTCTGGAGAGTCTGTTACAGCCTTGCCAAAGGGTAGGAACTTGCCCAGGACTGAGGGAAGAAGGAAACAGCCAATGATCTGTACCACCCATCTCTGCAGTCTCCACTGCTTACAACAGAAAACACTTTATCACAAGTCTAGAAAGCTTGGAGAGTGAAGGACCAGGCAGTGAAAAGTGTGCTGGTTTTCCTGGTAAGTGATGGCTTCTGACATCTCCCTGATAGAGCTGGAGATAAAGTCCCTCTCTTTAGCCTTCTAGCACGCATTCTCGGTGCTCTTTAAAGTTAGCATTAGAGCCAGGAGAACAGAACGAAAGGTTAGGTTTATTTTAAAAAGCAACAGGGAGGCAGTGAGAGATGGACTTAAGTAAAGAAATAAAAGCGAGGAAATGACTGAAAAATGCCAGTTGGTGGAGGTGGCTCAGATGGCAGCCTGGTTTCCTGCTGGGAAGCATTTAGGAAAACCCCCAGAGGGTGGGGAGAGGTGGGGTGAGAATCTTCTGTGGGGAGACTGAAAACACATATCTTCCCTATTCTTCCCTTTTCCCTGGAATCTCTTCCTCATTACTAAGCAGAACCATGTAGCAGCTCTACAAAACCTTGCAAAGAATGTGGAAAGTCCCCTCTTTCACAGCAAGTCTCCAGCAGTGGGAGCTGCTTTCTGGAAAAGGCTAGAAGCAACCATGCACATCCTTCAAGACATTTTTTTTTTAAGCTTTCATTTGTCAGATGAAATGAGCCCTTCCTTGAGTTCCTTCCCTGCCTGTCACCAACAGGTCACTGGGGAGCCTCCTTTATTTTCCCCAAAAATAGGCAGTTGCTGTGAACCAACCTCTAGTTAGCTGGCCAATCTCTTGGCATTGACCTGCAGTCAACCTTAGAGCTACCTGCTGGGGTGGATTTATTTGTTTTTAATTTGTCTATAATTTGAACTGCTACAATGAGGTCTGTAGGTAGAGATAATGTATAATCTGGACCATTTCTAAGTGATAGGTTAAATTCCTGGGCTTTTCTATTTCCTCAAAACTCCATAGGGGGCTAAGAAATAAGAACCTAGACTTGATGAAATAGACTCATGAGGTCACCAGGTTCTTTTCCTGGAAATTGCAAAGTATTTTCCTCTTCAACCCAGGGCTCAGTCTGATTTCTCAGAGGTCTACACCAGGGTTCATTGGTATTTAATCTGGGATACAGAGTAAAGATCTGAAACTCACACTGGGACACTGTGGACATAAGATGTCCTTCATATGCTGGTTTGGGAAGATCTCTCCAGAGAATCTTAAATTATTTTTTTCAGGCGTGAAGGTTAAATTAGGGGGAAATCACAATCAGTTTTTTTTATGACATGTTGTATTATTAACATAGGCTATAAAATCACTAAAGAAAGGCAATGGCATCTTTAATTTTTTAAATTAAAAACCCTTCAAAATGACTATCTGAAGATACTTAGAAAAAAAGCTTCTCAGGATGTCACTACTGAGTCCTATATTATTTTATTGTTTTTATTTTCTAGTTATTGTCTGTATTTTACAGAATTATCATCAGCAAAGAGCTCTGCTTAGTAATCTTTTTTCCACTTATATCTACAACCTATGTATATCCCCATATTTTTACCCTTCATTATCATCTAAAATGGTTTTCCCTCTGTTCAGGAGGAATTTCCCTTGCCATTATCTCATTGTCAGACAGTTAAACTGCTTACAACTTGTCTGTGAAAAATCCACTTGACAATGAACCCATTTGTTCATCTGGAAAAGGAAACATTTAATTCTTCTAACCATTTTTCTTCCAAATACCTTATGGTGTCTGTCTCTTCCGAGGCTGTCTATAATTTAGTATTATGCATGTGAAATTGTAGTATCTGGTTTTATTTTTAGTTGCTGTCTTGGTGCTAAATATGTTGAACTCACTCTGCAGTCTACCTCAACCCAAGCTGGGATGGGACCTTTGATCCAGGCAACTTCTGGCTCAGGACTTGTAGGAGGAGCAAGGATGGTCTTTCAGGATGTCCTTGACATCCCAAAACTGTGAACAGCACTGGGGGAGTGTGAATTTTCTGGGGAGAAGATACAGGTCCTGTATCCAATTCTCAAATGGTCCTTGTTATCATGAAAGAGAATCATCAACTAAGACTTTTATTCTAGCATTCATAGAACTCTCTCTTCTTGGACCCTCATCCTAGGCATATGAACAGATACTAGCCTAACTTTTGGTCTTTAATCTCCAAAACATCACCTTCCTTTTCCCTGTTGCCCTCCATTAGTTGTTCACCTTCTTCTTCCTTTTTAAAAATTGAATCACCACGACATACACAGTTACGAAGTTGTTTGTGATTGGGTTTCAGTCAAACAATGTTCTAATACCCACCCCTTCACCAGTGTATATTTCCCACCATCAATGTCCCCAGTTTTCATCCTGTTGCCCTGTCCTGCCCCCACACCTGCCTCGATGGCAGGAATCTCTTTCTCCCTCCCTCCCTCCCTCTCTCTCTCTCCCTCTCTCCCTCTTTCCTTTTGGACATTCTGGTTTGTAATACAGGTACTGAAAACTTGTCCACCTTCTTAAGTGAAGAGTTAGACCCACAGTATTGGCTTCCCTGCCTTCTGCTTATACTCGAATGCATGGCTCTTCCTTGTTGATCTGCTGAAATTGCCCCCTTGGAAGTGGGGATTTGCCTCCTCATGACATAACCCAGCTGTTGCTTTTTAATTTTTCACATGCTGACTTCTATTTTTAGTATATGAGTAGCTCTACTTGGTATTCTTTTAAATTTTATTTTGGTTTGGGGGCCACACCTGGTGGTGCTCAGAGTTTACTTCTGGCTCTGTACTCAAGAATCATTACTGGCAGGGCTCAGGAATCGTATGAGGTGCCAGGGATCAAACCTGGGCTGGCTGCTTTCAAGACAACTACCTTACCCACTGCATTACCTCTCCATACCCAGCATTCTTCTTCTCTTCAAGCCTAAATTCACTACTTATTTTAATTTTTTTTTATTAAGGCACCATGATTTTTAGCTGTTCATAGTTGAGTTCAGGCATACGAAGTTCCCATTCTTATCCTACCACCTACGTCAACTTCCCTCCACCAATGCCCCCAATTTCCCTCCCCCTCCCAGCCTCCTTCTTAACAGAATATTTGGATCTCTTGCTTTCAGTTTTATTATGTAGTTCAGGTGTACAGATCTGCCTCACCTCTATACCATCCATATGTTCAAGGCCCCTGTTACCTCTTGCCTAACTCCTCTTACTTTCCCCCCTTGAGTCCATGATTCTTTCCATTAATTAATTAATTTGGAGGGGTCACACTTGATAATGCTCAGCAGTTTACTCCTGACTTTGTGCTCTGTAATCACTCCTGGCAGGGCTTGAGGGACCACAAAAGATGCCGGGGATTGAATCTGGGTGACCACATGTGAGTCAAATGCCTTGCCCACTGTTCTATTTCTCTGCCCAGCCCCACCCTTTTAAAAATTAATTCTACAACTTAGGCATGTCTCTATTTTTATCTATCATTACTTAAAATGGTGTTCCCTTCATTTTTTAAAATAATGGTTAGGAGAGGCAAGGGGACAAATAATAAGAAAAGAATTGTCAAAAAAAGGTTCAGAGAAAAGAGGAGGAGAAGTTAGTGACTCTAGTGACCAGGAAGAAAAACAGAAAACTTCAAGGGTCTACTACAATTTTTCTGTCCTCAGATCCCCTTTACTTCGGTATTCTTTTATCTAGTCATCTCATGTAGACCCATGCAAACACAATTTCCCCCTCTCCCCTGTGACCCAGATTCATATTTATTAATCTGGGATGCCTGAAAGCACTTCCAAGAGGTGCCAAAGAAGATTTACTATAATCTTGTCTGGCAGCTAAACTTGCTTTCCATGTCCCTGTAAGGCTTCCATGCTTTCGCAGTCAGGTACCAATCTGCTGGACTTATCACTGCCCCATGCTTTGTGATTCTTCGTTACATTTTTTAATAGAACAAGGCTTCTTGCCTTCTTTGTCACTATGCCTCTTCCTACTATGGCCTTTCCAGCTGAGTCTCTTATTATCACCAGGGCCCAATTCTGAGGTGGGTGTTATCTCTTCTTGCTTCATGCTGCAGAATCCCTTTACTACAATCAATGCATTTCACCAAACACTTCTAAAGTTTCTTCCCTATAGCCTCTGCCTACTTGCTTAAAAGCCCTGCTCAAAATTTTCTGTAACATTCTTTTAGTCACTGAATTACTTAAATATCCAAAGTCCTTCACATTCTCTTAGTCACTAAATTACTTAAATATTCAAAATCCTTCAACGTCTTCTTTTTTCTTCTTTTTTAAGGAATCACAGTGAGATACAGAGTTACAAAGCTGTTGATGGTCAGGTATCAGTCATGCAGTACTCCAGTGTTCCACTACAAAGTACTTCAACTTCTTAATCCAAATCATTTCTCTCACATGTTCTGTCAGGGCATATATCCTGTTTATTCACATTAACTTGAGTAAGGTCTCAATATTTATCATTATACTATCTGGACACATAAACCTTTAAGCAGAGGGGTGTTTTCTGAGGCAAAAATCCTATAGAGTCCCACTTGTTTATCCAATGGCTTCTATTTGTTAAAACTCATTTCTTCACTTTGAAGGTTTAGCATTCAAGCCATTATAATTCCACAAATGCACTTCAACTACTTCGTCCTGCCAGCTTGAAGAAAAGATACTCAACTTCTGACATTCTTTTTTCTGGGGGTGATGGTGGGGGCTGACTCACACACACCCAGTGAGGTTTAGGGAACACTCTTGGAAGTGCTCAGGAATCTATAGTCAGTGCTGGGAATCGGACAGGAGTTAGTCTCATGCGAAGCAATATCCTAACCAACTCTGTGTTGTCTCTCCAACTCAAACTTTTGACATTTTTAGGATAGAACCTGAAGATCAGGCATCTGTAGAAAATGTGAGAACTTTCTTCTAGTCCCTGTTTGTAATGTATATTGGTGAGAGTCTTGCCCGAAGACAAATGGCTCACTGTAAAAAATGATGAAGGAGAGTTGAATAAATGTGAATAAAAGGACCATTCAAATATGTTAAGGGAAACCAAATGGGAAGGGTCAGAACGCACACTCCAGTGGATATAGCATTTGAAGGATCAGGCTCCTGACAGTTACCTTGGTCTATGAGAATATGGTCAATTCCACACTGTGTCTGGCAGACAGACAGCTGAGAAAAGAGTGACCTGAACTACTCTCCATCCGCATTCTTTTTAAAAAATTTTTATTTATTTATTTTTATTAGTAAATAACTGTGGGGTACAGTTACAAACTTAAAAACTTTCATGTTTGCATTACAGTCATACAATTATCATTTACCCATCCCTCCACCATTGCCCATTCTCCCACACCAATGTTCCCAGCATCGCACCCAACACCCCACCCCATCCTCCACCACCCCACTCCGCCTCAGCAGTAGGGCATTCCCTTTTATTCTCTCTCCTTTTGGTCTATCCCCATTCTTTATTTTCTATCTGATGCCTCTCACTTGTCAGATACAACCAAAGTCTATGAACAGGAGAGCCTGGTGGGGGAGTGGGGAGGTGGAAAAATATGAAGAGTGGAGGAAACACTGAGAATTGTATTTCCCTATGGGCTCCTAAAGATCTGTCTGCAGGGAGACAGAAGCTTATCTTGGCTGAAGCTATTGGACCTGCTCAACAGCCACGGGTCATCTTCACTCATGCAAGTTCTTTTCTCTGGAGAGCTGAGAGGTGAAACTACCACAGTAATCTGATGTTTTCTTCAGGAAGCTCTCTTCTGCTCACTTCTCCTGTTGGTGCCACATTCCTTTCATATGGCTAGAGAGTCTCAAGACAAGTACTGGACACATAATAAACATGGATAGATTCAATGAAGTAAGGTTTGTTAATGCATATTAGTCATTTGTACTACAGCTTAAAAAGTATGTTAGTCTTTACTAGTTCAGATTCTTATGACTGATCCAGATGAAATCTATCACATGAAAGCTGTTTTAGTTTTGGAGGCCAGGTGATATTGAAGTGAAGCTCTTTTGAATAGAAGTGAACTCCATTTTCTGAGCCCTAACCTGAAGTGCTCCAGGAAGAAGGATTGATTGGCAGGCACTTGGTGATGCCTTCTGTTTCCCTCAGCATCATCTTCACATTCTCCTCTCCTCCTTCCCGCTCTAGACTGATTCTCTCCCAAGGTCTTCCCTGCAGCTCCATCATTTGACAGTGATGGGGTAGGAGCTAGGCTGAAAAACTGGGCCTGGGAAGTTGGTAGTCAACTCATCTAAAGTGGTACCTCCCAATGGAGGTGACAGGAGAAGAGAACAAAGTGGAGGGAGCCATTTTCTCATTTGGGCTGGCCACACAAAACTTCCTGCATCTATTGGGAAGCTAGGAGAGATGTGAGGTGGAGTTGAAGTCTAGTTTTTGTGAGGCAGATGCTTTGCAACACCATACCAAGGGTACAGCAAGCCCCTCAAGGTTGAATAAAGACTTGCTCAAGAGCATGAGATCTATATAATCTAAAACAGACCCAAATCAATAGAACCTTCCTTTGGAAACCTATAAATAGTTTGCTGAAATCGCTCCTTTGCAAAGATCTTAGGACACAATTTCCACTATCTTTCCTATATGACATTGCTAGCTTCTCTCTTCCTTTTGTAACCAGCCAGGGTGAAAATGAGACCATAGGACAACTAGAGTGAGGTGTGTGTCCACAGAAAATACGTTTGCTACCTTCAGTGAGTACCTGTAGAAGGGTCGAGTGGGTTTGTTTTTAAAGAATATGAAAATCTAAAAAAATAAACAAATCCTTTCGTTAACTGATAGTACATCTTTAGAGATAATTGAACCTTTAGTTTGGGCATGATATAGACAGATTAGAGCAAGGAAAATATCCTCTATCTAAAGAAGTTAGTTCATTCTAGAACCTCTTATTTCATCTTTCAAGACTCCACATTTTAGTCTTTTTTGTTTACCATCCTTCATATCAGAACCATGTCGGGCCCCTCTACTCTCAGGGTTCAACCTGAACTGAAATTGAGCAAACACGAACAATTTTGGGGGGGCTAGAAAGGTAGTATTGTGAATAGGGCACTTGCCTTGCATGTGGCCCACCCAGGTTTGATCCCTGGCGCTTCACGTGGTCTTGCAAGCCCTGTCAGGAGTAATCGCTAAGCACAGAGCCAGGAGGAAGTCCTGAGAAGTGCCAGGTGTGTTCACCAGCCCCTCCTCTATTTCCCCCCCCCTTGCTTTCCTCATATAATCCATCCAATATAGATAGCTACAACTATGACTCATGAGCTGTACTTCATGAAGTAACCACAGCTGTGCTTCATGAGTACACCTCTGTAAGATGTGAGCCAACACCATACAGATTTTCTCTTATTTACACCCATGCTGCTTTCTCATAGGTTTCAGCGGTCTCTTTCCATCTGGGTATTCTCCTTCTACAAGTCACATCTCTCTACACCTAGGAGAAATTTGAATATTAAGTTATTGAAATTAAGTTGTTTCAGGGAAGATGAACTCACAACCTTGGCATATCTGGCACTTAAAACAACAGCAACAAAATACCCAACCTACCATTTAAATATTGAAATAAATAAATGCATGTGTAAATTCCAGGGGCTCACAGATTACATGTAAGAGATGAGCTTTGATCTACCCACCCATGGAACCTAGACACTAATTTTATTTTCTCACCAACTTGGTTAATCTTCTGAACTTGCCATTTTCATTGGCCCCAACAACCTATTTGGATAAATTACTCTTGGTATTAGCCACTGGGCATAATCTGGAGCTTGTGTTTGGACACATAAACACTCAGGCACCTTACTTACTAACACAATTCCTTTACTGCCAACTATTTTCACCAGATGATGGAATTTGTTACATTACTGAAATAATAGAAAGCTTTGATATGGTTCCCCATACCACCTAAGCTCCAATGGTATGGATTTCCTGCTAAGATGCTAAAAACCAGAGTCACTGGATGAACCCAAAGCGTGGAATCATTTTAACAGCATGGTACCATTCACTATGTTAGCAATGAGACTGATACAAATATGAGGCAAGGAATTTAATAGTTTTGTCTCTTCATGCCATAAACCCAGCATCACTCCCCAACTCTGTCCCTGCATAAGAATGGAAGCCACTTACTGTAAACTGGATTTGGCAGCCACCCATGATGTAGTCCAGGAAAGAATGCATCTTGTGAATCTGCACAGGAGGAGGAAAGTGCTTTAGTAATAGTATTTGTATTTGTAAAAAGTAATTTGTCTTTCTTCATCCATTTACTCCCTGCTAGATTGAAGGTCTAAACTTTGGGGTTAAATTATAAACTAGAGGAAAGAGGAAAAAGATATCTCTTGGGGAAAAAATATATCAGTTGATTTTGCTTCCTTACAGCAGAGAAACAAAGCAATGTTCAATTTAGAGGGCCTGTGAAGTATCCCAGATGGCAAATATTTATTCATTGTTCTTCTCTTTTGGTTTATGCATAGTTTTAGTCTCTGAGATGAGGCTGGAACTGTATTTTTTAAGGGTTACTGCTGTTCTGAAATCAATAAAATCTCATACTTGGTTCATTTTGCTCTCCATGTCGAATTTTCAGTTTTTGTACATATTAAAATATTTTTATTATTGTATTTTAGGTAACGCAGTTAAAATAGTGTTAACATTCATGGTATTTATGGACAAAATAATTTTACTCGCCACCAGTAGAGTGTCCAAGACTATCCACCACTATCCCTATGTAGTATTTGTTATAGGTTATCTAGATGGGAAGTTTCAATATCACAATGACTTAAGAAGCCTTTACCAACAGTTTCTGACTAGTTAGACCTTCCTAGATCATGAGCAATCTTGAGTAACATTTCTTGGGCACTTACTCATCTCTCTCACTGAATAAGAACAACCCTAATGAAGGTGGTACTACTCCACAGCAGATTCATTCTCTGATGTGATTTAAGAGGCTTAACATACAAGATTTCCTGAAAAATGAGCACCTTTCTGAACTTTTAGGCCCTTTGTCTTTCTTCATTGTCTTGTTTACATAATCCCTTTCAGCATGGGGGTGATGCCACATGTTCAGAACCCAGCACTGTGACCAGCACATAGTAGGTGTGACCCAAATGTAGGCTGTCCTGGAAAGATCCTGACTTGTGATTAGATTAGATTTCTTCTAGTTTCAGGAACAGAATTTTCCTTTTGGGACCAGAACATAGTGGCATTGGGTCCCAGCATCTAAGATCACCATTGCTAATACTTTTCACTGTATTAATCCATCAGTTTGTTCCTGGACAGACTTTTTGAGATACATATTCATAAAAATCCTCCTCTTCCCAGACCATTCTAGCTTTGTAGTTCAGAAAGACAGCGCCTTTTTGCATACCTTGCACTGATTTAAAATCACAGTGCCGGAGTTCTTATAATTCTTCTTCTTGGCTTTGTACTTGGGGTTGATGCATTCCCACTGGACCTGCAACAAGAAGTATCATAGTGTAAACACCCCTGCTCAAGAGGAAGTGGTGGCATTTCAGAGGCCACACACTGCTGGGTGCTGCAGCAAACAGGTGTGTAGGCTAATACATACACATAGTCTCCAGGTGATGATTACCTCAAGAAAGGGGCAGCAGTGACTTGTGGCCCAGACTGCCTGCTGTGAATCCCAGCTCCTCCTAGAGATGGACCTAGAGCAACAGACTAAATTCCTCTCTGCCTGCATATCTCCTCTGTAAAATAGAGTTTCTGTTTACATTTATCTCATAGGATTGGAGGAAGGATTGAATAATTAATCTACATACATTTAGAACAGTACCTGTGCTCACAGATGTTTATTGTTCACAAACTCAAATAAGGAGCTACAGAGGAGAAAAGAAAGCTAAAGACACAGCCGAACTAACTCCAGTGCTATCTGGAGTGCTATATGGTGCCCGGAACTGACTTAAAAGACAGGAAAATTGAGGAATTTTTAATGCTGTTACAGGAATAGAGAGTAATGAATTTGCACAATGCTTCACTGAGAACTAAAATAATGGAATGATCCATATCACAAGACTGTCACAACAGCTCTCTAATGAATTTCCTCTGAAGAACAGAGATGGAACTAGGAGATGGGAAGGTATAGTTGGGAGCAAAAGGTCATTTAGGGGAGAAAATTTAAAGCACATGGAGATAGAACGTTTTTGGAGCAATAGGTTGATGTCAGATGTCAGATATGTAGGCCAGAATGGGAGGCAAACATCACTGTAGCACTGCACTGTAGCACTGTCCTCCTGTTGTTCATAGATTTGCTCCAGCGGGCACCAGTAACGTCTCCATTGTGAGACGTGTTGTTACTGTTTTTGGCATACCGAATATGCCATGGGTAGCTTGTTGGGCTCAGCCGTGCAGGCGGGATACTCTCGGTAGCTTGCCAGGCTCTTCGAGAGGGACAGAGCAATTGAACCCGAGTGAGACTTGTGAAAGGCAAATGCCCTACCCGCTGTGCTATTGCTCCGCCCGGGCTGCTATTGCTCTGCCCAGGCAGCAATAGGTTACTCAGCAATAAATAACTGATGCCATAATTCCCAGAAAGGAAGGTTCTAGTAGGCAACTGACAACCACATAAAGGTTTGCAATTAGAAGGCTTCCTTTCTGGGTAAGAGGCCTCTAAGATCTGAGCAAGAAAAGGGAGAAGAATCAAAGGAAGGGAGAGAGAGAGAGGGAAGAATAAAAGAAAGGAGGGATAAGAGTTAGAACCAAATCTGAAATAAAACATCTCATCTGTTAATAAAACATACCATCTTTCCAAAGTCACAATGGTTGTCTTTTTTTTTCCCACTCTTGGAGGTTTTTTTTTTTCAGTTCAATGTGGTTTGTGCACATAGATGATAAATCCAGCCTGTCTCAAAATTTATTAGTATTTTAAGCAAAGAAGCCATAGTCCTACCCAGACCCATCAAATGGAAATTACCTCTCCCACCCCCTGCAAAGCTTCCACTGATGTTGCAGGATAAATAAGTAGTGTAGAGATTTACCTCACAATTAGAAAATAAAGATGCTAAAATTAGCTGTGCTAATCCCTTTGGCTTTTCCAATAATTTCGATTAACCTCAATTTCTTCTACCATTAGATCATATTACTGTATCACTGTATCACTGTCATCCCATTGTTCATCAATTTATTCCAGCGGCACCAGTAATGTCTCATTTATCCCAGTCCTGAGACTTTAGCAGCCTCTCCTTACTCGTCTTTCCCAACGCTTTGGTATTGGAGGCTCTTTCAGAGTGAGGGGAATGAGGCCCATTATTGTTATTGTTTTTGGCATATTGAATATGCCACGGGGAGCTTGCCAGGCTCTGTTATGATCCAGTTGATCATAACAACTGGAATTTTGATAAGTTAGATTCTGAGTTCTATTCAGACTTTTAAGGCTTATCTGTGACAAGTCTGCTCATTCCCCCCTCGGGCTAAGGTGGATCAATAGTGGAGGGAGGGTTGGCATTATCAGACAAGGGCTCCAAGGAAACAGAATAAAACCTTGCAGAAACTTGGGGACTTCATGCCTGCTGGGTGGGAAGGGATTATTGATAAATTAAGTTCTATGTATCCTGCATTTATTGTGACATGAAGTTGTTGTCTAATGTGTGGTTAAAAGTTTTTCATCCAAGATCCATTTAATTCTCTCAACCCCCTCGCCCCCCCCCCCCCTCCGCAACTCACTTTACAGATGAAAGAGGCTCAGAGAGGAGAGAAAAATCAAACCAGTGCTCTTTCCAAAGTCTGTTTAGGAACCCTGGGAGGCTCCTGGGGTATGGGGGTGTGCTTCTATTTCTTCTTACTTTTTGGCCATCTCAAACTAAAGATGTTCATGGAGTCACTCAAGAATTCATCCAAGTTCATCAGAAGTTTGCCCCATACCTTTGGAACTGTGACTCATGGGAAGGAGCCTAAAAAAGGTGGCATCTCGGGGCCAAAGGGATAATACTGAGGGGAGGGCACGGCACTTGCCTTGCATGCGGTTGACCTGGGTTCAATCCTAGCACCCCAATATAGTTTTCTGAGTCTGCCAGGAGTGATCCCTGAGAGCAGAGCCAGAAGTAAGCGCTGAGCATAGCTGGTTGTAGCCCCATAAAACAGCATATCCAAAAATGGCATTTCTTGTCTTCTGACTTTAAATATTGGGGTTTCTCAGAGTTCAAGTCAGCTTGGATCTCTCTCCCTAAATGTTCTCAGTTATTCCATTGACTCTACATACCTTCTCTTTTTTGGTGGTTTCCAACACAATTCTCAGATCTTATAGGATCTTATTTAGATATATCCACATGTTTAAAGTAGCACCAATTGTGCCTCTGTCTGTGAAGGGTCCTTCCCCTCTGTACTCATCATAGCCAATCCTTCCACTAATACCATCATTCTCTCCTCCAAATGTATCTTTTCTCTCTCTACCTTTTCCCATCCCCATCTCCATTGTCACTTTAAAAAATACAAGTTTTGGGAGTCATTGGTGGTGAGAAATGTACACTGTGAAGGGACAGAAGGGACAGGTATTGGAACATTATATGACTGAAAGCCAGTTATGAACAACTTTGTAACTACCTCACTGTGATTCAATTAAAAATTAATTAATTAAAAATACAATTTATGGAGTTGAAAAATATAATAATAAATCTTGAAAATATAATTGAGAGTATAATAGTAGACTAAAGCAGAGGAAAAATTAACAAATTAAAAATACAAGTTTATCTTTCTATAATAATAATCTCCTAAGAAATCTCTCTGCTTCATTATCTTGTCTCTCTATAATTAATTATGTACACAATAGCTGAAAGGAATGTTTAAAAAATTGAAATAATTCATGTGTCTTTGCAGCACTGTCCAATAGAACTTTCTAACAAGGAGGGCAATGTTGCATGCATTTGTTTAATCAATCAGTGTTGAAACCACTAATACCATGAGGATATTGAGCTCTTTCTCTATGATAAGTGTTGGAGGTGGAAGTGGAGATACTTGCATGCATAGAGGTAGGAAGTTAAACCCTGCAATTCCAAAACACTGTAAACTAATAATATGTCAGTGAAAAATAAAAAAATAGATAAAATAAAATAGACCAAATACAAACAACGACAAAATAAGTCACTAGTATGACAAAAAATTGAATTGAAACTAGCTATGCGTAGTCATACGCTACTCTCTCATATGATACAGGTCTCAGTTGTGTGCTTTACCACATTTAGAAGGAAATTGAAGCTCCTTTTTTTTTTTGAGTTCTCAGAATCTTTCTTGTCTTTGATCATATCATATGCCTGACTTCCCTCAATCCTTTCTACTCTAGATACATGGATGTCTTTTCAAATCTCACCATGCAAGACTTTTCCCTGATTTCCCTTTGCAGAGTGAGTCTCTCTGAGGAGCTTTCTCCTTACTGGTTACACGGCTGGCCTCTTTTCATTCACAAGGGTCTTGATTGGAAATGATGTTTCTGAATCATATCTTTAAAGCCAATTTCACTTGCTAGAACATTTGTCATAAGTTGTAGTTACTTTTAAAAAAATTTTTTTTCTCAGTTTTACTTTTTGTTAGTTTTGTTTCTTGGGCAACACTTGGTATTCAGAGCTTCTCCTGACTATGCTCAGGAGTCATGCACAACTGTGTTTGGAAGATTAAGTAGAACACAGGCCTCTTGCATGCAAGGCATACATTCCACTCTGATGAGTTATCTATCTATTCCTAAATTTTACTCTTATGTCTAGTCATAACACATCTAGAACCTAGCCCTTAGTAGGCTCCTCTCAATAAATATTAGTGACACCAATGAATAAACAAACAATTCCCCACACACCCATGACAGGAGCTCAGAGGTTTAACTGAAAAATCTTCCTGGTATCACTGAAAAAATCTTTCTGGTACCACAGGAAATATAATAGCTTACTCATTTCCTCAATGGGATTTAAAGATTTGTTTCTGTTTGCATGCAGCAGACTTTGGTGCTTTTCAACTATGATATGTGTTATAATCTAAATTTTAATCCTCTTAGTAACCTACAGATTCAATGTTTTATGAACCAGTCTATTTCTATTTGCAAAACAAGGCACAAGTTTGCAAATTTACCAGGCAAAAATGCCATTGAAACACTTTAGAACTATAGCAGGTGGTATTGGTAATGATCATTTATTTATTATTAGCTCAGTTGTGCTCAGGGCTGTATCTTTGATGGAGCAACAGCTTCTCCAGCTATACACTTAGTCACCCTGGCAGTAATTACTTAGAATTTAGTGTTATTGCTAATTGTGCCCCTGACTCTCTGTGAACTCTGCTGAACATCTCTGTGTGCTTGACACATTACTTGAAATGCTGGGTCTACAATAGAGCATAGACAGGAGGTTCTTTGGAAGCTATGCAGAAACTTGCCCTTGAATGTCAGGCAGATTCATATTCTCATTATATAAATATTGTATAATATATATATATATACACACACACACACACAACAATCAGGCAGATTGAGATTCTAATTTTGAAGTCTCAGTGTATTTCTATCTTGTCTAGTTATCTCTTGCTTGATCTTCTGTCCAAAAGAATGGACTTAAGGAATTCAGTGCAGATAGTTCATCGGGGAGGTTATAAAAGGAAGCACCTACAGAAGAGTAGAAAATTGGGATAGAGTAGGCCATCAAAAGGGGTACATTATCAGTTCACTTACCACTGTGTGAAACCAGGGCTTATTTGTGCTGGAAACTCTGGGAAACTATATGTAACACCATTCTTAGCAATATCCTCCTGTTTTTCATTGATTTGCTCGAGCGGGCCCAGTAATATCTCCATTGTGAGACTTGCTGTTACTGTGTTTGGCATATTGAATACATCACGAGTAGCTTCCCAGGCTTTGCCGTGTGGGTGAGATACTCCCGGTAGCTTGCCGGGCTCTCCGAGAGGGGCAGAGGAATCAAACCCGGCTCGGCTGGCTGGCTGCGCGCAAGGCAAATGCCCTACTGCTGTGCTATCACTCCAGCCCACACATTCAGAATTTTGATACCCAAAGGGAAAGACAGCTGGGGTATTTATGCCCCAATTCCCAATAGTTATTGTGATATATGCCCCTCCCCCTTCCTTCCAGTTCTCTGTGTGCCTGTGCAGAATGGATCTAGAAGCCAGAGAAAACCTTGAGGCAATGTAATTCAGGTTAAGTATCTGAAAGTTGAACTGGTGAGCCCTGAAAAGGTAAGAGCAGAAGTTGCTTTTATGTGTGGGCATACCTGGTGGTGCTTCAGGATTTCTCCTGGCTCTGTGGGGTTGGGGGGACTATATATGGTGTCTTGGTTTGGACCGGGGTGGCCTGTTTGCAATGTAAGTGCCTCCCTGTCCCAGAATTACATGATTAGAATCCATAAGGACAGCAATGGAATGATCCATTGATACAGAGGTGTGTGTGTGTGTGTGTGTGTGTGTGTGTGTGTGTGTGTGTGTGTGTATACATATATAGGAATGTGTGTCTGTAAGAAAAACATTAGAGAATGGGGCAGGAGCAACAGTATAGCAGGTATGGGTATTTGTCTTATACGCAGCTAACCTGAATTCAACCCCAAGCACCCCATATAATCCCCAAGCACTTCCATGAGTGATCTCTGAGTAAAGAGCCAGGAATAAGCTCCTAAAAGGCATGGCCCCCAAACAAACAAAAAGAAAAGAAAACATTGGAGTTCTGTTTTGCAGCGTACAGTGGAATCCCTGTGAGCTTTTGTGGCAGGTGGTAGCATTTGGGCATATATCTGGCTATCAGCCACTTAAAATGAGTCAATTTGTCTACATAACACAAAAATATTATGGATTTTTAATTAAGACTGTGCTAAATCTATGCTTTGTTTTGCAATGAAGTGGCTACTATGTTTAGTCTTCCAATATATTACTGTGGTAGAGTTCTCTATTTAGCCTTATTTGGCTTCTTTAAATCAACAATCTGTAGATTTTACTATACTGATTACATACATGTTAATTTTATTTATACATAATTACTTAATTTTGGCGCTATTAGAGGCCAGTATAGCTGATATTTTATTTCTGTTAATTTTGGTTTCTAATAATTCAGTGTCAATAAATGCAAATAAAATTTTGTGTGTGTGTGTCAAGATCAAAATGATGGCCTTAGACCAAAACTTGATGTCTCCATAACAAAAATATGAATGAATCTAACAATTCCTGAAAAGACAGTACAGCAGGTAGGGCATTTGCTTCACATGATGTTGGTTTGACCACAGGCATCCCATATGGTCCCCTGCACACTGCCAGGAGTAATTCCAGAGTGCAGAGGCAGGAGTAACCCCTGAGCATCACTGGGTGTGATCTCAAAACAAACAAACAAAAAAAGAACACAGCTAGTAACCATGGATACTTTGGACGTGTGAGCTATGTGCTAGGCACTCTGAAAAATGAAAATTGATACTCATTGAATCTTAATTCTGTAAGAAATATACAATAGTCACTTCTAATTTATTTTAGATAAGAGAATTATTTCTTAATTTTAATACAAGGGACTATGGCTGCCAAATTAAAAGAAATTAAAAATATTCTTTATTTTATGGGCTGGAGCGATAGCACAGTGGGTAGGGTGTTTGCCTTGCATGCGGCTCACCCAGGTTCGATTCTTCCATCGCTCTCGCAGAGTCTGGCAAGCTATTGAGAGCATCCCACCTGCACGGCAGAGCCTGGCCAGCTCCCTGTGGCGTATTGGATATGCCAAAAACAGTAATAACAAGTCTCACAATGGAGACATTACTGTTGCCCACTGGAGCAAATCGATGAACAACAGGACAGTGCTACAATGCTTTATTTTCTGGGTAGAAAATAATGGTATTAGATCAGTATTTGGCTCAAGGACACCCTAATTGTTTTGGGTTGGTCTAGTGCTGGAGTCCAGGTCATGAGACTCCAAACTGCTGCATCTTGTCATGATTGATCATATATTAATGTCTCTCCTCTAACTAGTACCTACGTGACTGATTTGGAAGAATACATCATCTACATCACAAGAGGAGTATTTGGGGAATATTGAGAGTGATTTGCACATACCTGCTTTCCTTCCAGGGCTCCTCTCATCTCCTTGAACGTTGAGGTGAATTCTCCAATGAAATCATGTTTGCCATTGGAGTCCCAGTCCCATACTATGCACTGCAAGAGAAAAAAGAGTATCTGTTTTATTCCCCCTCCAACAAAGAGGGTATCCAAAGGTTGAAGGTAGTAGGAATTTCAGGGAGAAAGAGTTAATGAAAGATAATGCTAAGTCTAAATCAAAGCTTGGCTGACTAGGATAGTGGCATGTCGTGGAAAACAGAATATTTCTCTGCTTTGTACATTAGCCTTTTTTTGCCCATTTCTCTTGTAAGGCCAATAATACCCAAAGGAGATAATAATTTGCTAAGGGGGCCATCTAGTGCATGAGAACTGGGATTTGATGACAAACATGCTGACACTAATTTCAGTGTCCTTTCCCCCTGCTCAGAACTGCCACCACACCACAGTTTACAGGCTGAATTAGTTGCCTGACTTCAGGGTAGAAGTTTCTACCAAATTAAATGTTCAGAACGGGCTCCAATCAATCATATTTTCTTCTTTGACTTCTTTTCCTCAAGGTTATAAATGTGATGTTCATAGAAATGTGTAAGAAGGTAGCCATGTGAGATTTTTTAACTGCACCCATATGAAAAATAAGTGAAAAATAGTGCTGGGTAGGTCACTTTAGTAAATATCAGGCATTCATCACACATATGATATGATGGTTCACTTCCCACAGAGGGTTCCCTCTGACAATATCCAGACTAAATCTGGGTCCACAGGCGACACTTTGTAGAATGAGTCAGATGAAATCAGCAGATGAAATCCATGTGGTTACACATTATCCGATGAAAGGGAAGCTCCCCAGTTTTCTGGGGTGAATGGTGAGCCAGCTTCTCAGGCATTACTACCTCTGAAACCAGTGATTGGCCGGAAGGAAATTCCTTTTATTTTCTATTATAGTGAATCGCAACTACACTCTCCCAGTTGCTTTAAGATCAAGACAACATAGAGGGGCCGTTTGCTCAGATATTTTCCTTGGAATATTGGTGCTGTAAAGGCAGGGGGTGGGAAGGGATGGGAGTGGCGGGAGGGATACTGTGAACATAGGTGTTGGAGAATGGGCACTGGTGGAGGGATGGGTATTTGATCACTATGACTGAAACGTAATCACAAAAATTTGTAAGTCTGTAACTGTATCTTATGGTGATTCATCAAAAAAATATATATGTATAAGTAATTTGTAAAAAAAATAGGCAACCTAGGTCTTCCCAGAATGGGATCCCACCAGCCAGCCCTGCCTAAAGAACATGACTTATAAAACTTTTTGTCTCGGATTCGGTGGCATTCCCCATGGATCTCCAGTGAAATATGTCCCACAGGGAACATCACCCCAATGATTTCTACTCATTCATTTTCTATTATAGTGAACGACTTCCATTCTCCCAGTTGCTACAGGAAACTAGCCATTGTTCTGGATAATCTTCTCACCCTCCCATTCCTGCTTCTGTGCATTTTGTCTCCTCACTGACCCTGAAACACACATATTCATTCCCTGGAACCAGCAAGAAGATGCTAGCTGCTGCTAGAAAGAGAATGCAGAGTCCCTCCTGGAACCATCTCTTCGAATTTAATTTAGTTTTTGGACGTACTCTTTCTTTTTTACATCATTTTAATTATTTAAGTAATATTTAAGTAATGTTTATTAAGTAATGTTTAGTAATATTTAAGTAATTATTTATTTATTAAGTAATGTTTAGTAATATTTAAGTAATTATTTAAGTAATGTTTATGCTCTTCGTATACAAAGTTATGCACTTCCTTCACCATCAGGGTGTCCCAATCCAGACATCTCTGCTGGACCATTTATTTAAGGCTCCTGACTTTGACCAGAATGAGTTCAACCATGGAAGCTAGCATCTGACAGCACATTCGCTCTTCTGATTTTAGAGAAGAACCCAATCAAAAGGCAACTGAGTCAGAAGCAATGAGAGAGACCAAGTGGAAGCAGCCTTTGAAACCTTCCCTGATTTGGGAAAGACGGCAGGAGTCCTAACCACTGGCCATATTGAACACTTCTCATGCCCCTGGACCCAAAAGAAGTTAAAAGAGCAAGTAGGTGGAAAGGGGATAGATAGTAATAGTTTGGTTTGTCACAGACTCTTAAGCAAAAACCATGCCACTCCTTCACTCCTGCTACCTTAGATATTCTGTCATGCTAAAGTCGGTGACCCTTCCTCCTTCCAGCAGCTAAGCACACCACCCAAGAAGTTAGTTCATTTGCTGTCTCACTGGGCTGAGAGGGAGTGCCCACAGCACCTGCCAGAGTTGGAGACTATGTTAGCCCTGTCAGGACTGCTACGTTGTATCCTGGGGGCTGGACCCTGCTACTGACAAGGACCCCGCCGCTTCACTCTTCTGGCATTTCTCATCATAGCAGTTGCAGAATTCTGTTTTGACCTTTCTCAGAAGAGCTCCCATAGGAAGGAAGACACAGTGAAGCAGAAAAACAAAAACTGTTTTCCTTTCCATATAGCTGGTGTGTGACAGCTTGCAGGCAGCTGACAGAGGAACACATCTTCAGGAAAAGCAAACAGATCAACTGCCCGGCAGAAAAACAGAGAGGCAGGGTCCCTGGTTAAGAATCAATGAGAAAGTATTGACAGATTGGTAAGAGGGCAGCCCCAAGCTCTGTCCATGCCAGTTAAACTCCTCAGGGTCTCAGCCCACAGTGGACTTTAGAGACCCATCTTCAAATGTCTGAGTTGTGCAGAGAGATAGTACAGCCGAATAGTTCTTGCATATAGCTAACCTGGGTTTGATCATTGGCACTCGAATGGTCTCCCAAACACTGCCGGGAGTGGTTCCTGATCATAGAGTCAGGAGTAAGAACTGAGCACAGCCAGGTATGGTCTGAAAACAAAAACAAAACCACACAAACACACAAGTCTTCAAGTTTTTGTTAAGTCCTTGTTCTCATTTGAGAGAAACATAAAGCTACTTCTGGGAGTTTGCTCAGTGCTGAGATGGGACTAAATTCTAGCTTTCCTCTTTCTGAGTTACCAATGCCACACAAAAACCAAATCATAATAGTATAGAGAGCACTTACTAGGTACTCAACACTGTTTCTGAGTCCTTCAGGCATATACACATCAGCTCACTGAAACCCTGAAATAATTTATTGCTATGCTCATTTTATAGATGAGGCAAGCAAGTTGTAAGAGATGAAGCACATTTCTCAAGATGATTCAACAAACTTGGCAATCTTTGAATTAAAAGATATTCAACTCCATTGCTTTCCTTAACTGACCATCTTTTATAAACACAGGACATTGTGTTAATGGTCCCAAATCCTTTAGACAATGCTGAAATGACCAACCACTGGTGATCTCCATTTTCATTCACCGTTCACTGGAAGGGTGGTTAAGTGACTTGACTAGATGCCCAGAAAATGACAAAGGTTCCTCTGAATCCAGGAGTCTGGCATCACTATTTCTCTTATTTAGTACCTTCTCTTAAAGAAAACTTGAATTTATAATAAGATCACCCCAACCTGCTTGTTCAAAAAGCTCCACTTGTTGACTGACACTAAACTACTGGGATCTTCTGAGGCTCAGTGGACACAATTTCCAACATAAAGAACTTGCTCACTGTTCACAAATGAAGGGATGCATTTTTTTTGCTTGTTTGTTTTTGAGCCACACCCAGAAATGCTAAAGCTCTGCTCTCCTGGCAACGCTCCTGGAAGTGCTCAGGGAACAATATGCAATACCAGGAATTTAGCAGGGTCAGTCCTCTGCAAGGCAAGCTTCCCACCCACCATACTATCTCTCCAGCAAGTCTAACAGCAGGAGCATTGTTTTCATGGTAGTAGCCCTGTCTGTGGAAGGTTTAGATAGTTGTGTATTAAGAGGTTGGGCTTAGGGATTGTGCCTGCCACAAAGGCAGGAGGTAGGAAGAGTGGAGGTCAGGGGAGGGATACTGGGAACACTGGAGATGGGGAATGGACACTGGTGGAAGGGTGGGTACTTGAACATTGTTTCTCTGAAACACAATCATGAAAGTCTGTAAGTCTGTAAATGTAGCTCACGATGATTCATTAAAATAAAAAAAAATTTTTAAGTTTAAAAAATGTTTAAAAATATGTATTAACATGTTTTCCCCTTTTATATTTGCTTTGAAACCAACAAATAAAGACAGTATGTAAACTGAGAGTTTTTTTTAGGCCTTTTTACTGGCAAGATTTGTTTTTGTATTACCAACACTGCTAAGTTATACACCCCAGTTATTTAATCAAAATCCATTCTAGGGTATTATAGTGAAATTATTTTGTTGACATGATGAATCAGTTCATAATCAGTTGATATTAAAATTCTGTGGTTTTTATTTTTTTTAAATTCTGTGGTTTTTATAATTTAGGAGTTGCATTTTCTTTTCCTGTTAAAAATATAATTGGTGTATCAAGAAGGCTGGAAAACCAGTGTTAGTGGGGATATGGTGAAAAGGAACCCTCATTCACTATTGGTGATTAAGCTGTCTGGTTTAGACTGTGGAAACCAGTATGAAGCCTTCCTTAAAATTCAAGAATGAATTTTTCTATGACTCAGTGATCCAACTTCTTGGCATCTTTCCCAAGAACACAAAAAAAAATCACTGAAAAATATATATGCATACATATGTTCAGTGAAGTACTTACTATAATAGCTAGGATATGGAAGCACCCCAAATATCCAACTACAACAGAATGGATAAAACTATGAGCACAGGACTGGAGTGAATAGTACAGCAGACAGGACACTTGACTTGCATGTGACTAACAGGCTTTGATCCGCAGTACCACATGGTACCCAGGGCGCTGCCAGGAGTGATCCCTAAGCATGTAGTCAGAAGTAAGCCCTGAGACAGATGATGAGGTAAAGAGCCTCTTATGTATATAAAACTACTGCTCTGCCAGTAAAAAAAAAAGATTAAATCAGCGTTAGAAAGAGAGTTGGAGTCAATGTTTTGTATGAAGGAGTTCTGGGTGCACTTCCTGGCACCATATGGTCCCCTGAGTACAGTTAGGAGGAGACCCCTGACTGAATACAGAGTTAGGTGTATTCTATAAGAACTTCCAG